CACTCAGGGAGTAGAAGTGAAGTAACATTCATTACAAGATGATAATTAAAACATTTCAGAATGCGCCTGCAGTGTTTGGCATTTTGAACCCAGTATCGTGTATTATTTGTCATTTTTTTCAGCAGCTTCATGAAAAGAACTAAAGTTGCTGTTGAAACAGTGTAGTTTTTACTTTTTCTATTTGCATGAAGCAAAACTGACTTGTTGATCTAGCAACAGCTGTGGCAGCAAATACGCAAGAGGTTTACTGGAACTGCTCCTTAGATGATGCTCTACAATGCAGTGTTTTCAACATATAACCATTTGAAGGCTGTGAAGTCTTTACTCTCCCACTTAAAGCTAGCTAGATAATATCTGTTCAGCCTGCCAAAATAAAAAAAGAAACTGTCAAGGTTAGATTGCGCAAACACATACCACACAGAAACCTCTGGAATGAAACTGTGTGGAGATGAGAGGTGGGTCCAGGGGGTTGTGCTTATCAGCTGTGTGCAGCCTACTGACTCTTCATCTGCCAGTCATCTCTGGGCAAAGCCAAAGATTGAGGATGGAGCGCAGATGGAAGAGGCCACAGCAACACTATTATTAGAAACCCTATTAGAAACATTGACATGCATGCTAACAGAAAGCAGCCAGCAGCTCGCTGAGCTGTGGGAGAGTGCATCTTTTCATTTTCTTTGCTGAACTGTTTTGAATGAATGTGCTCATTCGAATCACGGTAAAATAAAATGACAGCACCAGTGCAGAAAAGAGTAAATCAAGGCTCTTATTTTTTTAATATTGGCACACAAAGGAATGAAGCAGTTTTCTTTTTCCAGTAGAAACTCATTGGGGGAGAAAGTGACAACATGTATAAGACAAAGTAAGGCACTCAAATAGCTTTACTGCTGTGTAATCATGATGGATTACGTGGGCAGAAAATGTAATTTTCTTAATTTGTTGTTACCTTGGGTACTGAACATAGAGGCGGGGTTTCACTGCATTCCCTAAAACACATTTGACACTAACATGGATGAAGACATACTAGCAGCACTACAGTACACTGATATATCTGTGGTACTTGATTTAAAAATCTACTTATTCTCTGCATGAGCACTGTAGTAAAGCCAAGTACAGTGAATGTGTGTCTGGGTACCTCCTAACACAGGAATCCTCTACAGCTGCCAGTTTTCTCCCCAAGGTGCTTGACAGCCAAAAGCTATTAAACCTCAGAGAGGTTATAGATGACTCAAAGTCCCTGTGAGCCGGGGGCCCAAAAACTAAACAAGGGCCAACAGTACCCCCGCTGTCATTCTACATATTTCAAGGCAAACTCTTTGCTGTCTGGAAAATTAAGGAATAACGGAATAAAAATGTGTTTAGAACATCCTGCATCGTGTAATCTGTTCTCTTATGTGTGGGTCATTGATGAAAAAGCACCACAGTGTTATGTGATGTATGGACACTGACAGAACATTATCTCCACCTGTTATTAGCAGTAAAAGAATCCTGTATATTGTAGAACATTCCTTCCATCCAAATTGTCCAAGCTCTTCATCTTGAGAAAGCTGCACCAACATGCAGTATAATCATTTGCCTAGATTGTCCCTCAAGTGTGCTTTGGAGCTGTGCTTGTTAATGTAAGCATACTAAATGCAGTTTACTGAAGTCACATTGTGATTTCTGGCAGCCAGACTCATTACATTTCAAGCACTTATCTCTTGCTTCCATTTGCAGCTGTCAGTATGTGAAATTGCCTTGCATTGCTTTAATGACGGACATTCAAAGAGGTCCCTTAAGAGATCCCTTAATAGTTCCATTAAATGAAAAGTGCCTTTTCTTTGTTGTTATCTGGTGTCATGTAGTGTGTGCCAAACGCGGTGTGAGAAAAAAGCATCTTCTTGTGTTTTTATATAAAAATGCCCCCTTTTCCTTTAAACATTTTCAAAGATAACCAGTACTAGGACTAATAACGTGTCCACTACAAGCAACTGTTTGCTCATCCTCTCCTCTGAACAGCAATTCTCCAGTCATAGCAATCATTCTTTTGTGGATGTATCGCTGAAGCAGTGTGCACGGTGCCCGAATATGAGAGATACTCGGATGTGTTAGTATTTAAAGCTAATGTGTTTGGTAACATTAGTGACCTAGCATGGTTATGATTATACCTTTATATTAAATTAATATAATTAATTTGGGAGTAGTTCAAGCGCTGTGTAATGTTAGTGCTTTGCGTCACATTTGTAGTAACCAGAGCGTTCTACTGGATTGACAAATTTACTTTTTAGTCAGCTAACACTAGCTTCAGACTGGAGGCTGCATTTTTATATAGTCACAATCTGGCATCCATAGTTTACCTCGTGGCTAGGAAGCTAAACGTGATGGGAGGGGCAAAGAGCGGTAAGGATCAGCTTCTGGCATCAGTCTGTTTTGAGTCTCACCAGACCTCCTAGTGGCTAAAAAGACACTTCGAGGTTAAAAATGTGGTTCTCATCACTGAGCCTTTTGTTGCCCACTTACACAAAAGCAACACAAAAGCCTGATTCAGACATCTGCAGACAGCTAATCTGCAGCTGATGTTTGCTCAAAAGGTTGATTCATCAGCTTGTGTTTACCTGCTTCCTCCACCTGTTCAACGGGAGAATGAACAGGTCAGAGTTTTGACATCACTGATTTTTACATCTGTGTTGACATGTGGGAGCCACATTTGACCCAGCAGTCACATCGGTGCCATATTTTAATAGCAAGTCATCTTTGTTTGATTGATGAGAGGAGCTTTGATCTGACTCACTGTGGATGTCAAGGCTTTTACTTTGAAGACAGCTGACAACATAATACAGTTTACATTGATTCTGGAGAGCTGGGCTTGAAAAGCAAAAGAGTAATGACAGAAATATAAAATCACTTAATCTTGCTTTGACTGAAATGATCACGATGACACAAAAGAACAAATAGTTCAAGATGACGAGTGTGATGCCAACAATACTGACTTGAATGGATGCGATATTAATCAACGACTGTGTTAAAAACAAGCCACAATTATGACTGAAAACTTTTCCCAGGAGGTTTACCAAGGACAACTTCTGGCAGTAATGCATGCCGTGTGCACATCAATTCCTCAGAGGAAGCTCACATGCACAATCAAAACACAGCAAAAAGCAGTACCTCAACATTATTAATAATGGATCAAAGACTGTAAGCAGGCCAGCCCCAGACACTTCTAAACTCCTGGCTGCAGCCTTGCTTCTGTCCTGCTCTTGCCTTTTATCATGATATTGAGGAAAATGTAATTGTCCCACATTTCCACTGCTCAGTCTAAATCCTCGACTGCTGCAGACTATGTGATAACATGCGCTGTCACCGGTGACCTGCTCCATTTCTCACACAACTTAAAAATCTGTTGCCATGTTCAAAACAGGGCTAAAATTGGCCTGTAATCACATTTCCAGTTTTGATTTAAAATCCAAACTCCAAATAACCCAAATATGTCACCACTGTTATGGTCTTTCTATCCTTGTGAGGACACCAGCACCACAGACACACACATCCTATTGTCTTAGTGAGAGTCGGATGCCAGTGGTGCATAGTGCAGGGTTGACAAAACAAGTGTGTGTGTTCTTCACTACACTGCAGACACAGATTAGGGCTTTTGCATATTTGAAGTAACTGTTCTGTACTTTACTAGAGGATGTATGGGAATCACAAGTAAAGGTTTTGGTAGCAGAAATTGTCTGAGTTTGTCTTTGTGAATGTGATACAGCGGGAGCAGCTTAGCTAATTTAAACCTGAGATCTTGAACACAGCTGACTCACTGACGCTGGCAAGGACTAGAAATATGACAGCAAGTTGTGACTTTGCTTGTACGAGCCTGAGACAAATTTTCCACGCCGGTGGAGACCCAGATATGTCATATTTGTGCTGCATTTTTGTATCTATTCGGATTCTGAAGCTGCAGACTTCTCCTCCAGTGGCTGAGCATTTTTTTCCTCCACTACAGATTTGTTTGTCAGACTTTGTAAACATGACAACTTAGCTCAAGTGGGTTAAAACCTCTTTATGCCCTTGCAGCCTCTGAGCACATTAAACTGAGGAGATGAATAAAAATGGTGATGGAAAACTGAACCGGAATTGATGGCATTATTTTGCTAGCATGTTGGTGAAAAGACAGACAGCCAGGCACAGAGCCTGTTCAATGTGACCAACATTACACAGATAGCTCGTACAGTGCTCTGTCAGTATTGTCATCCATAATAAGTGTGTGTACAACTTCCTATGTGTTGGCGAAGAGCTTGGAGAACAGCTGCAGCCTTTTCATGATAAAACTGATGCTTCAGGCACTTTGTGGTGTTCTTTTGTTTTGTACTTTCACTCTGCAAAAAGGAGGGGGGTTTCTGTTCCAGGCAGAGGATAGTGGTTTAACAAAAGCAAGCTGCATATCTCTCATATGCAGATATGCTCGAAGAGAGTGGCTCGGAAGACAAACAAATGAGGATGAAGTCAGAGAGCGTTTGTTAAATATGTGTGTCGGGCACACATACCTTTACTATTCCTTAGAGACGCACAGAGAAGATGTTAGTCAGTGTAAGTGAGCCAGCAGATTGGGTGAGTCACAGACAGAAAGAACAGGTGCTGTGTGGGAGATAAGCATCTTACAGATTTACATGTATTGGTGCTTTTCACCTCCCGTGTTTTGGCATCTGGAGTTCTTTATGACTATATATGAGTAGCAATAGGACCTATACCCTAGAAAACCCTATGGAAAAAAAAAAACTTAAAACACAGATATACAGTATGTATCCAGCAGTAGCCACTTCATCATGCAAGGTGTTTAAACTGCTTTTTCCTAAAATGTTACGACATTTCGGCTTTGTCAAACAAAATTATGCAGATGATTTTCTGCCGAGCCCCTGCCCTCCTCCAGCTCTGCACAGGCAGCTGCTGTCTTCAGGCCTGTGGACGTCCCGCTGAGCAGCAGATCTGCACATGAAAAAGTGACTGGTCTTTTATTAACAATCTCATTACAGGCCTGACGGGCAGAAAGAAGAGCTGCAGACAAACTGGAAGGGATATCAACAGAGAAAAGTGCCACACCACTGATTATGTAGGTCAGTGTGACCTGCAGATTTCAGATTAACAGCAAAGAACCAGTTGCTGTTTGCCAGAACAGAAGATCTTGGAAACGCGCACATACTCTGCACACTGTTCTTAACTCAAGACTAACCTGTTTATTTGAAATGTAAATTATGTTGATATTGCAGCTGTTGTGCATATTTTTCCATATTTGACAGCAGAATAATAATAATGTTTTTGTGTTTGCGCAAGTTCAGCCTGTTAGTGGGTGTCTCCCACGAATGACATGTGAAAGGCGAAGTTGCTAAGAGATGAGCCGTCACTGTCCATGCTGTCAACTAGTACATGCATCGTGTTTTTTCCTCTTTTGCATGGCGTGTAGCATTTTTGGACACCTGTCCCTTGAGAACATTCACTTAGGAGGACTTGATGTGCTGCCACTGTCTGCCATTAACAAGTCTCGATTCTTCCCAGAGAACGTTAATGTACAGTAGTTTGTGCTGCTGTGTGTCACTGACGACTGACGAAAAGTAAATGCACCTTGAATTTCTTCTGTTTTTTTGTTAATTACAGTTTTGATCAAATAAGTGCACAATTAAAAATCAAACAGAATGAAGTTCAATTACAGTTCAACTTTAAAGTTTTGAAGAGTTTTTAGCAGTTAAACTTTACTAAACATTTTACAGTCTAGAAACTAATTTGCTGCTGTGAAAGTTCATGAGGAAATTTAATCCACAGGTTTTCTACTTTATTGCTGCACATCTGGGTTGGCTCCATTTAATCTGTTCATGCCACCGGGGAGTTGAGCATTGTGAAGGAAATTAGTTTTGGAAAAGAGATTTCATGAATTTCTTTTTTCAAATGAGTAACGTGTGAAATTGCAGAATCTAAAATGTAGAATTCCCAGTTGCTCATTTTCTCATTATCTTGATATTTACCGAAGGAGCTGCCAAGAGCTGAAGTGGTATGAAGCTTGACGAGCAAATGTAGTGTGCAGATTAAAAAATACCTTTGATTTGTGCTGCATCCCATCAAAAGTGAAAGGCCGTGCATGTGTGTGTGCAGGTAGCTCAGGCTATGTTTTTAATGTGTAACCACTAGATGTTTTCTTGTTTCTGTCTCTCCAGCTCCTCCTCAGTCTTCACATTCTTCAAATGAAGAAGTCTTAAATCGATCATATGGTGGCAACGATTACCTGGGAGTTTTATGATTCTGATATGTTCCTCAACCTTTTCCTAGGTTGCTTGATTTCCAAATAATATTATAAAAGCAGTATTAGAGTTTGGATGTTAATAGAATTTTTTACAACCAACTTTCAATTTCAACACTGGAACTTTTTTTTTTTAAATTTTGTTCATAAGTGCAAAACTTGTACATCAGACATTTTAAGATACTGTAGATGAGAGTGGTCCAAGTCCAAGTGTTTCCAAAATGTAATTTCAGATGAAAACTGAAACTTGCACAATAAACAACAGTAAGACAAAGTGGGAGATAGATACTATTTCCACTCAATACTGAATAAAAATTCAGGACATACTGTTGCACAGGTAGTTTATTTGATGGATTAATTTTCAAGTGACACAGAGAAAACTGCAGATAACAAGGAAACCATCTACTCCCACTTTACTGCACTTCTCAGGCAAAAAATGATCAGAGTTTCAGACAAAACAAAGTGACGGCTGTGGGAGTTGCATTGTGGAAAAAGCACAAACTGCAAGTAAATTTAGAACATGAAAAACTTCTACTGTAGGTTCGTTTTAACAGTTAGTGATACAGTCGACACTCAGGATGTCCCAATTCATTACCGAGGGAATCTGAAATTTCTCTGCAGTTAGATCAGACTGCATTTAAATCTATTAAATCATCTGATAGATGCAGACCCAGCTGTGACGATGATAAAGATAACTGCTGTAGTTTCATCATCGTCCTCACACATAAACACTGTCACAGTAGAGACTTTGTACACAGCCATCTGAAAAATGACCAGCCATCATCCTGTGACCCATAAAAACCACAACTGGGTGGCTGCAGTGGTGCCAGATGTGGGCAGGTGTTAGCATAGCTGCTTTACTTCCCTCTGAGCAGGTGGTTAAAGGGGCAGAACAGTGACAGGCTGCTGTGGGGGGACAGTGCTGTTGATGCAAATGGACAGCGTGTCACTGAAGAGCACAGTGGTCTCCACAGCCTGTTGTCACATCCTATGACACTCAGTGGATGCTGCAAAGCAGAGATGCCTTTGAAATACTAAAAATATCATATATACAATAATGTTGCAGTCTGTAGATTTGTGGAAAATGGTGCACAAAAAGCTGAAACATGAGGTCTTTCAGTTTTCTGTTACAAAACACGTTTCTTTCAACTGCTGTTATGAAGGAGCTCCCACGTTGCCACCTGTAGGAAACCTCGTATGTCAGTTCATCTCCGAATTCTCAGCAGTTCCACTTGAAAAATTTTAGATTGTGGTGAAAAGCTGCTTCTTTACACTGATGTTGTTTTTAATCAATAAGACAGTGTTAACATTTGCTGAATGTCAAGAAGTTAGCAATGAATAATCGCCTTCAGTCAATATGTGTGTGTGTGTGTGTGTGTGTGTGTGTGTGTGTGGAAATGGCAGCAGCTCAGTCAAACAGTTAATATTAAGCTTCCAAAATACAAGATCTCTATCCTTCAGTTTCTGCGTCATTGGATAAGAAAATGGCTAAGTTCTGTTCTGCATTGATTGTTTTCTGATTTCCTTTCGATTAAATGAAATCTGAGTTGCGTTTTCCTTTCCCTCTGCCTCCTTTGTTTTCCGCCCCTTGGAGGGAAGTGTCGCAGGGAGCCGCAGATTAAATGAGCAGGAAGCTGAAAATGATATCTCACCGAGCCAGTGTTCTGCAGACTGTAAAATGTTGATAAGGCTGCTTATTGCCTTTAAAGAGATTTGCTTTATCAATTTAGAGTGAATTTTATACTGTTGTTTATATGGTACTATTTTATTGCACCACATTATACCAATACGAAGTGATAACTGGTTTGTAAATTATTCCATATTGAGTCTATTTTTGCATTTTCAAGACAATAAATGCAAAACATAGTTGCACTGTGCTCCATGTATTACTTCATCAGCATCGGGAGGAGTGACACAGGCCTCGGGGTGTCAGTGCAGCGCTGCTGAACAGAGGCTACCATATCAACACTTCATGTTCAGTCACAACATTTTAGTCCCAGAATGACACACAAGCAGCTGACATGTTCAGTATGGAGCTGAGCTGCTGTACTTCATTAGAGAGCACGCAGCACTGACTGTCACTACTCAAACAATACTCATCAGTGTCTAGGTGTGTGTGTGTGTGTGTGTGTTTAATGACACTGCACTCTGATCGCTGCCACCACTCGTCAAAGCATTACAGTTAATGTGGCTGCAGCTTGAAGCTGTTTGGTGTGCAATAATGTGAAGACGATGAGGTAGTAATGAAGTGCCTCTAACGGCATTAATGTGGTCTCACTGAGAAAACCCATTTAGTGAGTTGCTGTGGCTATAAACAAAACCATAATCATCTAAATCAGCCTTTCTGAACACTCACTTTATGAAAAACATTTTACTTGTCGTTGGTCTTGAAAGATGCATTTTACGTGCAACATCAACTTGCACATGCATATAGAAATTAGAGCTCCAGCAATTAGCACTCTGTTTTTACTAACATGTCTAATTTCGAAAATGCTTAATGAAATTTGGAACACGAAAAAAAAGGAACCATAAAAATTTAATGAGTAAGTAGCCAGTTAGACCTTAAAGGAGCTTACATAAAATGTTTAACTGAAACAGAGATGCAGTGTTCAGCTGGAAGGTTTCCTATTAAGTCCAGTTAATTACTAATTAGCATAGTCCTTGGTCAATGTGTTTACACTGGAAAACTGACAAAATAATGTATAAACAATCGGTGTGTATTTCACGGTACAGTTGAATTTTGCAGTTATCATGTTATCATTTGCAAAGCTTACTTCTTTCTTCTGATTATCAGAGGACATTTTATTTTAGATTCAGGGAGTCTGTGTGTGGATTGGTTAATATTTAACAGGAAAAACTGAATTTCCTTTGAATTTCAATCAATGTAAGATGTGAAAATCTTCTGAATAAACTTTAAAAATGAAAATGTGTTGCCCTTAGAAACGTATTAAATTGTGTATAGCAGTGCAGATTTGAGAATGGATTTGCTGTGATCCCCATGTTTAACGTGAGGTCATGCACCGAAGGTATCAGTCAATGTGTGCTGTGATGGAGGACTCGCTGCCCCCTGGAAAAAATGAGGAGAAAAAAGGAAGAGCTCAGCGGGACGGGGAGGTCATTACTATCTTGTGCAAGGTCACCAAAATGCCACTGGGTAATTGAGTGAAGCCCGGCTGGTAGCTGCAAATCGAAAAAGGTTTCACCTTTTGTTGTGGTGAAAGTGAATCGGGGCTGGTTTTGTGCAGCGGGAACACAAGCAGCCTAAAATTGACTTTTCCGTTGTATGCTCAGCAAAAACATGCACGGCAGCAGCAATAGCAAGAAAGACAAAGAGGATGGTTTATCTGCTGGGAGGGATGGCGCAACCAGATGCCTCTCCCTCTCCCACCGACCCTTGATGCTTTGTGATGTAACAAAGGAAAGCACTTTCACAGGAATCAAAGTGCCGCACTGTCGCAGTGAGTGCATCAGCGAGGAAGTGAATTCATGTGATTTGCCCATTTCTGTACCTTAAGGCAACGAACTGCTGATGGCAGGGCTTTCTGTACCGGTGGAGCCTCTGTATCCCATCAGTGTCCTGTCACAGCCGGTCCATCTGCCACTTCTAGCTTTCTTTCTTTTGCCTCTCTCTCTGTATCCCAGCCTCTGTGCTTGTCCAGGAGAGGCCATCAGCTTTCAGCAATGTCACTCTGAGATCCCACCTGTCCCTGACCCTCATCTTCTGCAGCTAGCGTGTGTGTGCACATAAATAAGAAACAGAGGGCGGCATTGTGCATGCACAGGTAAAGGACAGTCTTTTTTTTTTTTTTTACCTTTGCAGAGCAGATTGTCAGTGCCTGGAAAAAAAATGCAGATGGATCCTGGTTGAGTTAGTGACTTTAACAGAAGATGGAATGTGCATCACTGCATTTATACCAACAGCTATTCAAGGTTCCTCAGAGCAGAAGATGATTACATAGATTCCACACGTGCCTGCACATGTAGATGGTTAACCTAATTTCCTCGAAGCGAGGGAGGCGATTGGTACGACCTTGATGAAGTAACTGTCTCCCGCAAGAATTAGAGAAGCAGATTTCTGTCAGACTTATTGTACAGAAGCAAGTTTTGCCACTAGAGAAGGTAGCTGAATTTCACTATAGAATAAAGAAATGCAGGAACTGTAAAGTCTGATGCTGACTTTCTTGCAGGCATAAAGGCAAATCAGAGTATGTGTATGTTAACCGTTAGAGAGTCTACATTTCCTTTTTTAGCATGTTTTAGTTTATAGTTTGGGTTTTCAGGCCAGGCAGTTTGTTGTTTCGATTCAGTCTGAACACTTTCACTGATGTTTCCAGCCAAAGGGAACTGTTTTCAGCAGTCCACCATTCACTGCCTGCCCCCTGCACCAAACAGCAGCCAGACACTGTAGCACATGGCTGGGTAACGTTAGCAGCTAATGAGCCATACTTCCCTTAGGAGTTGGTGGAGACTAAAAGCAGACATAAAAGCAGAGTGAACTTACATCCATCAGATGCCAAGAAACATGACTATAAATGAATGCTAATGTTGCACTGTATCTGATGGATGTAGGCAAATGTTAAACACATTAGCCATAAAGTAATAAGATGATACTGTAAGCCAGAGTTATGTTTATGGCTTGTTAGTGGCCAAAAATAACTGTTTCACTGTTGGCCACTAAAGGTTTGGTAGCTTGTATTGTTCTCAATGGAAAGAGATGTTTTACTCCCCCCCCTCTTGAGGTGACCTTGTGATTCCAACTCGGCTTATCTAACCTTGAGGGTCCTGCTGCTTAATAGCCTGACCATTGTCTTTATTCACTTAGTGCTTATCCAGTCTCGTCATCATTATAGGCTTGAGACAATGATGGCTTCTTGTAGAGTTGTGGTCTGGTCACATTTCAAAATAAAACGGTTGAGTGTTTTGCACCTGCTGCAAGAGATTTCTGCCTGTTCTAAAATTAGAAAATTCACAGTTGGGATCTTTTTTCAGTCACTTTCCCTCATTAGCTGCATCATTACGCCCATAACAATGACCAGATTAGGAGCGACTCGCTGACAATAAATAATAACAGTCACCATTGACTGCAGCTTCTCCCTTTTAATATATATATATATATTTACTTGCTCCTCAGGAGACCCTGACCAATCTGGGCTCCACCGTGACATCTTTCTGCCCGAGAGGATTCAGGACCATTGTATGGTGGGAAGATTAAAGAAGGCAGGCCTATTGATTGGCAGACAGACAACAGTAAGTTGGCCATTGATTGGGCAAACATTCAATTTCTGACCTTGAAGTGCACCAGGTGAATCGATGACCTTAATCCAGTGGGCGAAGTAAAGAATCAGCAAACTGGTCACAGTATGTTCTCCAGTTTATTTAACAGCATTTTTTTAAAGAAGGAAATATGTCAACAATAAGAAATTTGGCTCAGTTTCCTGTTATTCTTTTACTGATTAAAGTGGGAAAATGAGCTTGACTGAACGTATACACACATACATGCCAAGATAATGGGGTGCAAGTTCTTTCTGTCCTGTCTTCATCTCACCCAAACCTAAACACACCCATTTTTCTGTTTAGTCAAACTCATTTTGTTAGCCTCCTGTTCCATGTGGAGTATTCTGACCTTTTTAAATGACTGACCAATCAATACCACAATAGATAAGTCATCTCCTTTGATATTCATGAGGGACCCTTTGCCAGATGATGTCACTGGCTGGTGCAGTGTGTTGAGGGTGAAAATACACACACAGCTTCAGTTAGAAGTTAGAGGCTCGTGCACAGTTCATGCACAGTTATGAGGTCTGAAGAGACTGATGTGAAATCACACAGGAGAGAAGCCGTCAGCTGAGTCTGTGGCAAAACCTTTTACAGTGCTATTGTTGTCTTTTACTGCATATGATAATTCACACTCAGGGAGTAGAAGTGAAGTGACATTCATTACAAGATGATAATCAAAACATTTCAGAATGCACCTGCAGTGTTTGGCATTTTGAACCCAGTATTGTCTCGTCTCGTGAGCTAAGTGTATCGTCACACCCCTAATTATGGGACAGCTACAGCTCAGACCTGCATCACCTAACACCGATTTCTCTCTCTCTGTCACAACTAGGTGCTGCAGGGCATTTAAACTAAGTGCATGTTGCTGACGGCAACCTGACAGGATCAGAGATACCCCTCCAAATTTGGTCAGTGCTGGTCAGATTATTGCCCTTGTCTAATTGAGACAGGTCAGTGCTCTCACCTTGTCTGGCACACTGCACACAAACACATCACTGCACTGTACGCAGGCACAGCGCCAGGGACAAAGGTAGTAAAAGCACAGCAATATGGTCTCGCTTCAGCGCTTGCCGCCATGCCCCTGCCTGAAGTGTGCCGGTGTTCTGGTTTATGGAGTGAG